ACGAAGAAAAAAATTCCGTTACGCCACATCTCATAACGTGTGCTGAAATCTGTTTTATGTTCCCCATCTTTCTTTCTCTAAATGCAACCATGGGTTACCGTTACAAGGCAGAGTTGCATTCTGAGACAACAATTAAATATGTAGGTATGTACACACATATACATATTTATAAATATATCTTCTGCTGGCAAAACAGCCAAAAAGTGATCAAGTGAACAAAAAAAAGACTCGAAAATATTTAGCAATTTTAAAATATGCGCAAGTGGTGCGGGGGGGAGTGGCCCAAGAACACCATGGGATGGGCGCGATATGTGTGCGGTGGCCGCTGCTCAAGACGAGACAAATGGAAAACGTTTGTATGTATATGTGTATACATGTACATATTTAGTGGCCGTGTTCGTGAGAGCCGGGGGGAAGGGTGGTTGTGGCATGAAAAACCAAAGTGACTCATTCCCCCCAAAAACAATTTGCTAAGGCAAGAAAATGTGTGCGAGTATCTGGGGCATTCGGCGATGTGTTTTGGCCTTAGCCCCAGTACGTAATCCAGCCATTCTGTCGGTGCCAATGATAATAATGATGATGATGACGATGACGAAGATGATGTTGCTAGCCATGGCATATCTATTATTAGATGGAAATTTCGGGATATCCTAAACAGCACGTAACGTTCCCATGAAAACTATAGTTGAGTATCGTTTTCATTATCTGGTATAGTTCAACATAATCTGTCTTCTTCTTGTTTCTTCGGAATCTTCAACTTGATAGCAAATTAGGACTTAAAAATTTTACTATTTTGAATAAGTTGTTTAATCTATTTTTAAAGCTGTCGATAATTGAGTATGAATGTATTATAGCTGCATTTTTAGTAAGTTTCGTTTCAAATTGAAATCTATACATTTTTTTTATTTTCTTTTCTTTTGTGTTAATGCATCTTAAGCATTCTTATAATTTTTTAATTTCAATTAAGATATTTCCATGGTATAAAAAACTCGTTCGCTGCTTTGAATGCTGTGCCGCCAAATGTTTAAAGGTTAGACGTTAGCCAACACTCTTTTATCTACAGTTATGTATTAACGTTTTATCTTCAGCTAAATTCGTGCTTATTTCTTTTGCTATGAAAGGAAGACCAAGATATTTCTCAGACCTGAACCTTATCTATATAAACGGTGCAAAATAACCTGGCTAGAAACAATGTTAACAAGATCCGAGCACACTCTCACACACACGCACACATTCAAGAACACGTTAAAAATCTACATATACAATCATTCCAATTGGACATCACATTTTCTAATTGGACTCGTACCTGGTTGACTCGAAGAAATTGGCCTCGCGGTTCATCAGCTCGTGACGGAACTTGGCCATCTCCTCCTCCATTTTACGCATCTCGGAATCGAAGCGTTCGCGTATGCTGCTGAATTCCGTATCGATAACGCTGAAGTCGCCCAATTTGATGGGAATATTTCTCTTATTAGCCTCGGCCATTTTTGTTTTTTTGTGTTTGTGTGTGTGTTAGATAAATCTAAAAAAACTTCTTGCGCTTGCTGCTGCCGCTGCTGCTTCTTCTGCTTTTTGCTTCGGGTTGTTTTCACGCGCACCGCTGTTTTCTTGTTGTTTGTTCCAATTGGACTCGGTCAGCTTGTGCTTGTGTGTGCGTTTATATATATTCACTTTCTAATCAGAACCAAAAAAAATCACAATGTATTCTTTTTATGTATTGTTTTGTATATATATGTATGTGTGTGTGTATTTGATTGACTCGTGTCGCACAATTCAACGCGTTTCAAAGTTTTCTGTTTGACTGTTTTGCATTTTCGGCGTGTGGACGCTTTTATAGCGCGGCGCCACACCGCGGCCGCAACCACAAAGAGAACAGCAGTGAGTGAAAAGGAAGAGCGAGAGAGAGCGCGTTGTGAAGCCAACATGGCAGTGAGTGGCCGCACTTGCACCCACACATTGACACGACTTGCTCTCTCCATCGACCGCGCTCGCTCTCTCAGGCCGGCAAAAAGCAAGTGAATGACTTGCGATGTGCGAGCGTGAGTGGGCCTGCAAGTGTAGTGTGAGGCAAAACATTTTCAAGTGTTTCTCTCGTGAGTGCCCTACCTTAAAGTCTGTTACGATTTAGTCATGCATTTTGTGACGATCTTCTACTAATACGTACTTATTTTGTTCGAATATAAGCAAAACAAATGGTTTTATTCTGTTGCCCACATATTTTGACTGCTCTTCGACAGTCGTATTTGAGCGCACATCTTCTTTAGAAGGCAAACCATTTGAAATCCACAATCTTTTTTTTTTTTTTTGTTATATCATAAAAACATTGCCTGAACCGACGAAAAACTTTTCTAACAGAAAGAAAATGTATGAAAATTGGAGCAGAAATTAAATGATAGCTAGAGAACTTGAAACTAATAGCAAATTATAAACATTTATTTTTATCACTGAGGTTAAATACAAATATTCTTATTTTTTATATCTTTATAATCCTACCTGATATTAAATAATATATTGGTTACTTATGTAACAACTTTCACAGTATTCGTACATAGAGAAGGGTATTCTACAGGCGCACTGCACCGCAATGCTAGATAAATTTCTGGCAAAGACAGGACTTTTTTTCGTTCAGCCGCTAAATTTATGATTGTTTATATATATTTCACTAAAACTGTTTATTTTTTGGAATTTTTGCTTATGTTAAACATTTTTTATAATCAAAAGCAATTAGCTAGTTAGTTGCGAATGTGAACATGACATTAAATTTATGAACATGCATTTCAAAAAAAAAAGAAATTATAATAATATATTTATGTACATATATATGTATGTATCATAAACAAATCGAATAGCTGCAAGCGGCTAAAAATAGACAAACAGTTATGTGGCTGCTGCCGCCATTGGAAGTTGTCTCTTTTGTGCATAGATCACATTGTGGGTGGAAGTGTAACCGGTAACGGCAATGCCAACCGGTTTAAAGCTTAATTGACGCTTGCCGTTTTAGGGCAAAGAACGACACATTTTGAGCCACTTTGTAAGTTCCAGCAATGTGGTTTACGTTCTAAATACATGCGTTTGTGTGTGTGTGTGTGTGTGCGTGTGCGTGCGTGTTTGTGTTTCGCGCACAACACGTGGGCGGCAACGTTGGCGACACATTTCCATTAATATTTCGTGTCGCAGCGTTTCGATTTGTTTGTAAACAAATGGAAACCGCGATGAGTAATCGATGACATTGTGCAGCAGCGATCAGCAGCATATCGAGCGATATCGGGCTTGTCCTTTTACGGTGTGGCAACGTTGCGCCGGAGTCATCAGCCTCCCGGCGCAATTATGAATATTATATTGAAATATTTAAGCAGTTGTCACGAATTTAAAAAAAAAAAAAAACAGACATATATAAAACAAGTCGAACGAAATATGGCTAATAAAATAAATTCAATCATGAATTACAAAAATAAAATAACAATCATCTTGGCAGCGCCCACATGGATGCTGCGGCGCGGCCGTTAATGCCGCTCTGTCCAAACAATAAACTCATTTTCATCGAAATTGTCGACCTTGAAGGCGACAAAGATCTCGATCTCGGCTAAGACTGTGCTGCTCGCATTAACACACACCTTTGTACATGCTGTGCGTGTGTGTGTGCATTTGCAATATTCGAAGCGAAAAACCGTATAACGTTGAAATTAAGAAAAACAAATTTCCCATAGCATCGTCGAGAATGTTCATCTGCATCTGCCTCATATAGATTTATGAATATACTTAAATACAGTAAAAGCTGCCTCGAGTAAACACCCGCCATTGCTGAGATTAATGAAAGATGATCTTTTCAACGATATGTCAACCAAAATATCTAAAGGTATTATTTTGCATGGCTTGGAAGAGGTTAAAGTAAAACTTTTCTATTTTAGATTCAAAAAATCACATCGGAAATTGTTCTTCTACTTTATTGAAATATAACTTTGTTAAATTATTAAGTGTGCTCCAATAGGAGCTCGTCCGTTAGTCGAGATTTCACTGTAGGCCGTTAGACACCCGCATGCATAGGTATTTAACCACAATTTTCTATACATTTCGTATATGTCATGCCATTCCACTGATTTTCCGCACACTCGCCCTATGCCGGGACAACTTGAAATCAATCAAAATTCGCTGGCGATGATTTAGCATGGAATTTTTAGCTGATGTATAATACGCCAATTATTCAACTAAGGCAAATAGATCTTATGCGTGGGCGTCAACGCTTGACGACAGCGTTTTAATACGTATGTGTCAGCGGACAAGGCGGGAGCAGGGGCAGGGGCGGGGCAGGGGCTGGGGCAGGGGCTGGGGCAGAGGCAAAGCATCAGCATTTGGCAAGCAAAACTAAAAGTGTTTCGACAATAATATGTAATATCTATGTGTGTACAGATGTTGGCATATTTGTGTTGTCATAACTTCAAACATTCCTTATGCGCACTGAAATATTTCGAAATAATACAAATGAGCACTAAAAACTATATATGTATACAAATGTGGGCGCTCTTAATTGTGGGTAGAAACATTATACCATTGGATCTGTCGTATATTCATTCATAATAGTATAGAATGAATCACACATGATGTGACATATATATTTATATATATATATATATATATATATATAAATGTTATGTAGAATGTTCTCGATCATTGTTTTTCTTAACTTTTGTAAGAGTTAGTTTGTAAGTGCACGCATTAGTGCTGTTAAACTATTTGCATTTTGTTTCCTTGATTAAACCTATTTTGTGCATTCAAAATCATCCTTTGGGACTTTAAGCATCTATTCATTCATTTATTCGGCTTAAGTAAATTCAAATCTAGCGCACTAATTTAAATAAAAATATAAAGCTGGTCACACTGCGCATTGCATTTAATTACGTGCTAGATATACAGTGTTGTAAAACATGTTAAGAATTATCGATTAAATCGGAGCAACGCTGTGCATTTTGCACTGTGCAACACTTTTTAGCTGTCTGACCTGCGTTTGTGTGTGTATGTACATTATCAGCGCAACAAATATAAACAATTGCAATAAAATTACTAAAAAACTTAAAAAATATTAGGATAAAAGTGTTTATTGTTTGCCAGTTAAGCTGTCGTATACACTAAGCAAAATGAACGCCTACTACACGCTGTACTCGGGCGACAACTACGACGACGAGTCGATTGGTGATGAACGCAGCGAAGAAGGTAAGCGTAAAAGAGGCGGTGCTGGCTGCCGCGGAGGTGGCAAGGGCTTAAGGCCGCCAGTCCGCCAAAATCTACGAAATGAAAATAAAACCAAACGCAGTCGACTCTCAACCATGGAACGTTTCACAATTCCAGATACTGACGACGCAAGCGAAACGGAGTTCCGCAGTCCGCATCGCTATGGCGGAACCAACGGCAATTCTTCCAACAACAGCAACAACAACAACAACATCATCAGCAGCCACAACAACAATAACAACAACATCATCATCAGCAGCCACAACAACAACAACAACAACAACAACATCATTGGCAGCAACAGCGAGCTTAAGGAACAGTAAGTGATATATATAAATATATAAAAAAGCTAGCAGATCGATCGGCCGATCGGAAGGTTAACAAAAAAGTTGCACACAAACATTTTCCGCCTATTTTCCCCACTAGTGAGTGGAGTGATTTTCAAAATCAATTATCAATCAATCAATGAGGGCCAATAGTTTTGTTTTCATAAAAACATAGACAATATAATAGAATTACTGACAATTTCAACTGATGTTCTCTTTTTCTTTTGCAGAATGTACCAACACAAGCTAATTAATCTGCAGAAGCAACTGGAGGAGCTGAATCAGCTGATACATCCCGAATATATGAAGCGTGTGCGCAAGCTGGACAATCAGCTAAAGGAGCGTCGACGTCTCAACGAGATCTACAAGGATTATATGCGCGAATGCGTGGAGCGCGACTATATACTGGAGAAGAAGGCTGCTCAAAAGGAGTTCGACGAGAAGATGATGGATCTCAAGGATAATCTAATAGCGGACTTTGAGGATCGCAAACGTCAAATTGAAAATGAACGCTACAGCTTGGAGCTGACCAACGATTCCATGGAGATCAAGACAACGGTGACGCGCAAGCTGCGTCGACGGCCCAACGAGCCGCTGCCGGTGATCGAGAAGCGACGCAAACCCGCCACCGGTCAGCTGTTGGTCTACCAGCTGGATGACAAGGAAATCGAATCGGATCTCAAGATGATACAGCGCGGCAAACCGATGCCGCTGCAGCAGAACGGCATGGGCTCCTACACAAACACCCAGCAGCAGCAGCAGCAACAGCAGCCGCAGGCACACAACCTGCTGGCCGACTCGAATAGCTATGTGGAGACGCGCATCGAGGACAACAAGCTGCTCTACGAGCGCCGCTGGTTCTGTCGCGGCCAGCAGATCTATGTTGAGGGCAAGGATATGAACAAGTTTGCGGCCACCATCACAGCCATTGGCAACGAGGTGGTGCGTATATCCGATCCAATCTTTTAGCCTACTTACACCCTGTGCCCAATGAGAGAGTAAAAAGAAAGAAAGAACTCGTCCGACTTTTCCGGCTCCATTCAAGGTTTCGGCTAGCCTCCACCGAAGCGTTGCTCTAGTCCGTTCGTCTGTCTGTCTAAACGCGTTTAACTCAGAGAATTTGACACGTTGCTTCTTACAATGCCCAGGCAGATCAGGCTTATTCCGCATTCTGCTTGGGAATAACACGGAGTCAGTATCTAAACTCTCGCATCGTATACACAGATCCACAATATTTGTTTTTCTATTCCTTGCCTAGACTCAGCTCATTGAATCTATGTATGTTTAGAAGGAAGCTAGAATACTTGTAACGACAGCTTGGGTGCAGGGTATCTCCTGGTTTGGCATTCGCGACTAAAGCACTTTGGTTTATACTCATTTCTTTTTCATTTCTCTTCACAGATCTGGGTCAAGCGCTCCAATGAAAGCAAATTCAAGATCAACATGTCGCATTTGGCCAAGGGCAAAGTCTCCATAAAGCGTCGATAGTCCACATATTTAAATAATATGCCCCATATATTTAAATAATATACCATTTACGCTTTAGCTTAAGTGTACATTTTATTTAAACAAATTGTATATAAATGAAAAGTTGCTTTAGTTTTCATTAAGCTACATATTGTCAATTCCGAGTTCAGTGTCCGTGCAGCTGTGCTTCTTGGTAAGCCCCATGCGAAATTCTCCACTTGTTTACGCTCCGGTTTCCAATGGCTGTGCAAATATTTGGAAAGGCTTTCGGGCTCGATTTCGTATTATAAAACGCCCAACAGTCAGCTTAATTATTATTTTTCTGCTGGCATTTTTCTTGATTGTTTATCGAGTATCGAATTTCCTGGGAACTAATTGCACTAATTGTTCGCCCTTCCTTTGACATTCAGAGCAGGAATCCGCACTTTTGGTGAACATTTAAGCCAATTCAGTCCAGTTTTAAAAAATTCCTACATTTACGAATGAACTTTTATTAACTTTACTGCGAACTGTTTAAAGGTTCGGTCAACCTGGTTATCCACATTCATGAGGCCAGCTTTTGGCTAAAAGTTTCAATTTATATTTAAATACTTTTATTTATTGATATAAAATAACTGAATATATGAAAATATCTTTGTAATACCTTCAAATATAAATGTGAAAACAAAACAAAATCTATTCTTAAGCGTTAGGATACGGTCTCGCTTAAGGTTTCGATTCAGCTGCTCCTCAGCATCTTCTCCAGCTCTGAAACTGAATGCTTGAACGTAAAATTTTAGATTCGAAAATACAAAAAAGTTTGTAAACATTTAAAGCCAATGTTAGTTTATCAAAAATATGCCTAGATATATGTATAAATTAACGTAAGGATTTCTAGTTTCCGCCTTTTCATTGATAAGTCAATGCATCATTTAAGAGGACTCATTTCAGTAGGACAAAGCAACTGGAACCATGCGGCCACTCAGGGCAGCTTTCACTGTACTCTTCTCTTAGCACTCTTCCAAGGTGAGTTATTTCCGATCCGTGTGGGGAGCACAATTCCAAACCAAATTTTCAAAGAGTAGAGCATTCGAGTTCAAATCCCTGGCTAGCTAATGGATGTAGTACTTTTTAAAGGAATTGATAGCTTGTAAATATCTTCTACAGTAATAACAATTGCAATGGTCGCTCTTAAATTGGATTCCAACTCCTTGCTTTTGGTTTCAGTTCTTGAAACCGGTTCTAGGCGCACTCGAACTGAGGTTTTGGTGCTTTTTATAAAGCTCTATATACAAAAGAGAAACTATTTACGGAATGCCGCACAGTAAATACCCTAGGAGACGTATGACAGATATATTTTACAATATAACTAAGCTTCAGTGTTTTTTATAAAATATGATAAAAATATCTCGAACACTTTTCCTTATAAAAACTAAATTTGCAGCCAGCCTGTGATATGCATATATAGTAAAAATTGGAGCTAGATCTAGAGATAGCTTTAAAACAGAGACTAGTTAACATACAAGGACAGTTGAACATGGCTATAACGACTCGGCTGGTCGACAATATCAAGTATATCTATGCACTACGTTCTCGTAGCCGCCTGCTTACAAAATTACGATGCCATTTGGAAGGCCTTTAAAGCAAGAGCTGTCGGAAAACGGAATCCTTTTCGGAAATTAGCATCCAGCCTGGCAGCAAGGCGTGTTCGCCATTGCGAGCGTCCACTGTACAACCGATTCGCTCAGCTTTAGAGCTGGGCTTAAAAAGGGAAAAAAGCGCGCGAAAACTTTTGCAACTTCAGAGAACAAAAAACCATTCAAAAAAAGAAGAGACGAATAAAATTCTTGTTTCACTTTGCGCTTGCTTTATAATTTGTCGTGTTGCATTGCTGCAATTTTCTGCTTCATAATACAAAACATTCACACAATTTTGTTTTCTTATTTTTTGTTTTTGTTGTTGGGTTAGTTCCAAGCTGGAACTCGTTTAAATTTAAGTTGATAAAAAAAAACGCTGTCTAGTTGCGCGAGCCACGTCCAAAGCCGCCACGGAATTCGACCTCACCGGCGCCGGGTCCGACATCACCCTTCTTGTCCACACCGCTGCCGCCGGGGGCGCGTCTGTAGGCAGAACGATCTTCGCCCGTTTTGGAGGCATCGGCTGGGCCGCGTGGTCCACCGGCCGCTGGGCGTGGACGCAGCGGTTCCGAGCGTGTCGGCCGCTTCAGGGTGGAGGGCACAATTTCGGGCGGCAAATGCAGATAGCTGCGCAGCTCCTCAATGCCCTCGTTGGTCAGATACCAGTAGTAGTGCCTCCATGCGAACTGCTCCTTGACGAGACCGCGCGAGTGCAGCGACTGCAGTGCCTTGATGACATGCAAATTGGGGATCGACTCCAGTTCGGGATGCTTCTGTGCATGGAAATCCTTTTTGGCCACAATGACGCCCTCCTTGAAGAGGTACTCATAAATGGCGACACGATGAGCCTTTGGCATGAACATGCTGCACGCAACGAAAACAAAAAGATAAAAAAAATAAACTTATTAGAACTTGTCTTGTTGTTGTTGTTGTTCAGTTTGTTCGGGTCTTGTTGACAAGACGCTGTGCGACATTTAAATGTCAAAATAATTGGCAAACTTCAATAAATATGCACATAACACGTATATTGACAGCTGTTGCGTTTCACAGCGCATTCACTGCAATTTCATTTAGCTAAACACTTTGGCGGATTCGCAATTATTTTACAGATTCTTTTTATATATTTCACGTACTTTGCGTCTTCTATGGAGCAGAGACCGGAAAGAAAGGAAAAGCGAGTTGACAGCTGTCAGCTCTCATATTCTTCTTCTTTGCTCAATACACACAGAGCTGCATGGCGCGTGCACACGCGAATGGTAGCTGCAGAGTTGCTTAGTGGCTAACAGAATGGTCACCGGTAATATCACGCTAATTATATAAATAATAAATATATATAAAAATTTTCATGACTTGAAATCGAAGCATTAATGAACAGTTAACATAACAACTGCAAGGAGTAAACTTTTTAGTGTTTTTCAGCCAAGATATGATAGACATAACAAGATGACGTCACTATTCACAGAGCTTTGTTGCTCTAGCTGTAAAAAAACTACCCTGAATTAATTTTTTAATTTGATTTGTTTTTATCGATTATCGCAGCTATCGATAACTGGTTGCGGCGCCTTAAAATTGAATGCTTTTTATATTGGCGCGCGTTTTTCAAATTTAAATGTACCCATAATACCACACGTTATAATTTCTTAATTCATATATTAAAAGTAGTTGAGGAGTCAATTGAATGAAGAACCAAAAATATAAATCACAATTTTAGCCAAGATTTAGTCGTTCCTATGTAACTTACAGTTTCAGAGCCTAAAAATCATAAAACTTTTGAGTAAAGTCGGGTTGATTTTACGAAAAGTTTGATATGTCTTGAGAGAATTTGTCCAAAGATGTTTGAAAATGAATGTAAGACGGATCAAGAATGCTTTGCGAGATTTTTTATACTTTGTGGTTCGACTTGCATAAGGTAAAAATTGTGAGTTTTATGTCAGTTTTATTACATTTAGAATTTCAGACTAATCAATATTGTTTATGATCGGCTTTAAGCAGCGATAGTCTAGTTTACAACATAAGTTTATCAAGAACATTCAGTTACCAAGAAGCTTTGTTGGGCAGCTCCAGCAATTCCTATGTAAACAACAAACAGCTCGAAATTAGTTTATCAACAAAGCAAACTACTTAAGTAGCCAATTATTTAGATATGAGCATTGTATTAGGTTCGTTTTTAACTGACTTCACTTTAAATATTGCACTTTGACTTTATCAAAGGAAATTAATGGCCTTGTTCGATAAGATTACAAAAATCCGATTTGTGTAACATTTTATGCATATATACATATATATATTTAACGAATATATATATTTATTAGTAGTAAATATTGTTTTCGCTGAGCATTCGAATGAATCATCGTGTGTGCACAAAAAGGCAATCTTGACCATTTGGGTTTTGTTGGTTGAGTTAGTTGGAATTGGTTTTGTTTATGGGAAATTCAAGTTTCACAGAAACACGGGTATTCCAATTCCGATCTTTCGATTAGATAGCTAAGGTTTAGCATACCGAAAGAGCATATAATTTTATTCTACTAATTGAGTCCAATTTGTGTATTCGACTTAGCCAATTCCAATAAACAAAAAAAAAATTAATAAAAATAATACAATTTATAACTATGATAATAATACATACATATAATAATAGTATAAATATAAAGTTAGGTTAGGTTATGTTCTCGGGCTTCAAAGGTCGACTGGACTTCAGACCGAAATATCCCAATGCTCGGCAGACTTATTGTTATTGGGCCAATAAACTTTGATTTCAATCATCCAGACAACTTTTAAGTACTGGATTAGATTAGAATTAGCCGATACGTGCGGGCACATCACGATGATGGCCTTTATTTGAGCACACGTTTTAATTGTTCTTATTAAATACCTATAGTTAAGTATAAACTATAAATATTTAAATTATTTATGGGGTATAGCTGAATAACCTTGAATAACCTTGTTAACATATGGCTTACAGGCTTGCAAAATATTTGAGGAGTTGCTGAAAAATACACAATTAGTCCAATCAAAAACTCAATTTTTCGATCGACAGACAGACAAATAGACCGATTTGGCCACATCGTATCGGCTATTGAACATGTATATATATACTTTATGCTGTCCTAGATAACTCCACCTTTGCGTTATACAAAATCATAGACTATCATTTCCTTCTCTTGCCTTGCTCGGGCCAAGTCTTGAACTTTAACATCAGCTCGATTTTCATTTTTCGATCGTTGGGTAAATTTTCCAATAAATAAGATTTTGCGTTGTGTAGATTTTCCAACATATTAAGTTTCCACTCAATCAACCTTGATTCCCAACTTTCACCTAGGCAGGTGGATTTGCCAAAAGAGGTGAAATCCTTCTCAAAAATGTCTTGTTACAAAGAACTTTTAAGAAGCGTGCCAAGAATGAAATACAAAAATGTTTCTAAAATCGTTCCATCTATCTTCCACGCTTACGGATGGAACTTCTAAAGACGCTTAGAATTCACCTTCGTGAAAAGTGAAAGCTTTTGTATGAAATGCAAATTTACACCTTCTGTGATATGATTAATCTGTCAGGCCGTCAGTCAATCAATCAATCAATCAAAATGGTTTTATGTGGAAGAACGATTACTTCATCTGGGAGCATCGAGTACATAAGCAGCAGAGATGTACACATAGACCAGGTGTACCCAACAAAGTGGAGTTAAGCCCATCTAGTTGGCACCTTGAACCTGCTGCTGATATGACTAA